AGCTGCAAATGGGATTTTTGATGCCACTTCAAGTACACAGTTGCGGGAAGGGCACCCACGCTATCATTGTTTCATGTGGATTCCAGGGGAAAGATAGCCACATAAAGAAAACATATTCCAAGCTGCTTTCAGTTTTCAAGATTTTGTGTCAGTAAGAGAATTAGAGGTCCTAAGAAGCACATGCTTGTGTTGGGTGGAAAGCTCCATTTGCGAACAGCAATCTGGCAAAGCTTTGATGAGCACTGTAGATAGCATCTGTGATGCATGTTTTGTGATTCCAGCCAGGAAGAAATGGATTTTTTTATTTTTAACAAAAAAGGAGCAAATGCTGATTTTTTGTGTTTTTCCCTTTAGATTCTCTTCCTGTGTTCTACTTATTGCAGTCCAACTATGGAAGTCAGTGTTCACATGGAGGATTCAATTATATTTATTAATGACATTTTGGGTACTTTTAGTAAAAGAAATTATGGTTCGGGTCACTATGGGTTGTTCACTGGTTGGACTGTCCTAACCATGTCTTTTTAATTAAAAAGGCTAAAATTGAAAGAAGAAATATGAGTGGATTTCAGTGTGGGTGAGATGAAAAATGTTCTCTTATTGGCTTCCTGAGTGATGATATGAAATTAGAGTGGAAATTATTTCTTAGAAAAAGTCCTTGTAATATTAAGCTGCAAATGGGATTTTTATGCCACTTGAAGTATGGAGTTACGGGAAGACCACCTGTAACTGTGTACTTTAGTTAGGAAAATACATAATACTCAAGGTCAGCAACACCTTCATGTTTCAGAAACTGTGTTAACTTAGATAATTACAGAGATGAAAAAATTGTCAGGCAAGAATTTTGCCTGCAGAGGCATAGCAAGTGCACAGCCTTGGTTCACCGTAAAACCAAGACTAGGCTAAGAGTTCCTTCTGACTCAGGATTCCAGGCATTAGTAATCTATCACAGAACTGGCATGCCTATCTGTCGCCTAGTGAGGAGTCCAGTGTTCCCCAGTAATGCCTCATTCTGACCATCACAACTATGCTTTTTCCTGTACCTATAAAACAAGACTCATTTTATCTAATTTTTGTGGACTTTTTGACTACCAAGCTCAGAAATATGCACAGGGGAAAAAAGTTATTTTAAAAAACGTTACCTCTACTGCTGCTTTTGCCCGTTCAAATTCCTCTTCCAAGGAGTGGTTTCTAGAAAGTAATGCACTTCCCCAGCGATGTTCTTTGGTCAGCCGAGCCTGAAATGAAACGAACCCTGAGTGTTAACAATATTGTAACCGCACTGTAACAAGAATGTTTTCCTTTTCTCAGCTTATTTCCTTAAAGTTCAAGACAATTTCTGATCGACATCGTGTTTGGAGTCTTTTGCAGACATGCTGTGATGTTACTACCATTGGAATGCACCCAAATGTGTACGAGCATGTGTATACGATTCTTCCATCAATGAACGGGTTTCATTCCTGGTCATGTTCAACATACTAAATATATGACTTAACTCTTCATGTCTAGTGATCTACTTTGGAGCCCTCATCACAACAGAGCATAATGATGTGTTCTCTTCAAACTCTCGTTCCTTGAACTTTTTAGGTAAGATATATGAATTTCAGGAAAACATTAAAAAAGATTTCAATCTTTGGTGTATATGAGTTAATAAGACTGGGTTTCAGGTACTGATGTTTTAGTAAACTACTCCCCATGATGCTAACTTGCAATTAAGACAGAGTCTCCATCAGAGGGCTAGACATAGAAACTAGTAACTAGCTTTCAACTTGCTAAATCAGTTGCAGGTAAAAATATCAAAGCTGCAGAGATGGGCGTGTGGCTTTCAGGCTTTTCCCCTCCTGTATTAACAAGATGCAGAAATATCTTTCTTTTGCTTTTCCTCTGTAGTTTGTATCTCATGTCCCATTTTTCAGGATATTGCCCTTCTATAAATCATAATGAGCTGCTTAGATAAAAGCATGTCTTATTGGGCCAGCAGCTTTCTCACAAGTAAAAGGCAAGACAATATATGTCTGACAACTTAGCTACCTGAAAATATTTTATAATACCCCTGTTAAAAGAATAGTTGCCCAAACTCTAGCCAAGGTAATGCTATTTTGTAGTAGTGGCTGTCTTAGTTACTTTTTTTTCTCATTGCTGGGACAAAATACCTGTCAACGAAAATTAACAAAGGAAAAGTTCAGTTAGCTCACAGTTTGTAGAAGTTTCAGTCTATAATCAGCTGGCTTTAAGGCAGGGTGGCAGGGCACAGGGGCAACAGTTCAAGGTGGCAGAAGACAACAACAGCAGCAGGAGCAAAGAGGGGAGAGTAGGCCTCTTTTCCTTTCTTACATTGCATGCAACTATAGCCCTTGGGTGGGTGTAGTACTCACACCATCTCCTTGTCCTCCTCTCTCATAGGATGAGGATGTTCACAAAGTGAGGACCCTGGACCCCTACTGAATTTAACTTCTAACCTTCTCAAATTGACACAATATATCAGCCATTACAGTGGCCGTTTAGCTATCTTCTGAGTCCTCACCAGGTGCTGAGGCTGTGTATTAGATTTCAGCACAACAGAGCTATCCGTCACTGTGTTTGCTGAGGCCAGCAGAATTCCAGAGAAGAATGAGAATAGGCTGGAAATAAACACATAATTCTTCCCATGAATTCTGTTCTTGCTTTTGCTTTTATGCTGTTACGTAGGACCCTGTATAAACAGGAGTGTGGCAAGCAGGGAAAGCAGCTTTGGTACTACAGCTGCCCTTAAGCCACCCACGGCTCTGTAACTAATCCCTAACACATGCACTTCACTTGCCAAGCTAGACTTGGTCCAGTCATTCTTTGGTCTATCAGTGACCTCTCAATCTGGAGGCAGACACTGCTTTTACATCTTCCTGTGAAATTCATATGAAAGTTCCCACAATCCCAGTCTGCTATAATTATATTTTATTTTTTTGCCATAATTTTATTGATAAACAAATAGTAATGAGACAGTTTCAAATCAAATCGGTAGGACAGTTTCAATAATTAACACACTGCATATATTCTTCTTAGTGGTTAATTGCTGTACAAGATGCAGACTTGATATCCTATTTACAAACACCACTAGAACAAACCATTTTATTCATTAACAGAATGTAACTATATATCTATCCTAACCACTTTGAATACACAGATACAAAATGGACAT